CTCCCTTGATTTGATTATTTTGGCAAAAGCAAGTACTCTTCCTATGTCTCAGATTTGTATTTAACAATCCGTTTATTTATTAATGCTAATTAAGAGAAATCATTGTCTCGCCTCACTACTTATTCAGATCGCATTGTACATAGGCAGCCTTCATGAGCTCGCTCATGATGTCATCTAACTCATTTTATAGCAGTGCTGTCTCTGTTAGGAGCTAGCACTGCTTTTCTTCCCTTTTTGCTCTTTTGAATATGTTTTTGGTAAAATAGCATATATTTCTACTACGTGTTACAGTGTTAGGTAATATTAGAAAGGTTATGCAACAATATTTTATCTTCATGATCTTCACAGAAAGGATGGCTCTTGCTTGATTTGGTTGGTGTGTGAGAGCCAAGATTTGACTATAAAGTTTGCTTTGAGCTACCAGACTCAGGTATCTTTCCTTAATAATAATTGAAGTAGTTAACTTAGGATGTTCTACAAAATACCAGGAAATAGATTGTTGATAACTTGCAATGTAGAATGAGGTGAACAGATTTACCACAAACTTAAGTACACATGCATATGAACACACAAAATATGGATTTAGTATTACTGCAGAACTCTGTTTACTGGTCCAGTGGTAAATTCCATAATGAAGACTGGCAAGGGAAGTTTCTTCTTCTTGGCTGGATACTCTTTTTTGACTTCCTAATTATTCTTTGTTCATTGATAGTCTTCATTTCATATCAGTGTATAAAACTAATTACTTCTGTTTTAGACTTAGAAGCAATTTTCAAATGTTTTTAAGTAGCTCCAACTGTTACGTGTTGCTATTCCATACATACATGTTGGTGTAAAAACAGGATTATGACCCATATTGAATAAAAACTGAAAATTTCATGATGCAAAGTTCAATATTCCCTAACAGAGATAATTTTATTTTTCTACAAGAAGTAGAGTATGCTCTTCATATATTTTATCAATATCCATGTAGATATGAATGGTTCCATAAATTTATTTCACATACACACACATGCATACACAAGCTTCACTGGGATCATCATATGAGATATTCTAAAACTTTTTTTTTAAACGTAGTTTCAAGAGGCTTTTTTTTTTTTAAAGCATCCTTCCAACTTATCTCTATCCAATAGTAACTACAGTTGTGCCTCTTCCTTTCATTTGGTATTTTATTCCATATCGCTAAACAAATAAGTATACTGCTACTTCTTGACTATTCAATGTTAGGCATTACTTTTGACTATTGACTATGGAAGATAAGGATTTAGCTCCTTTGCAATGCTCACCCCCACTGCATACACACATATTTCTCTCTCCCATCCTATATGTATTAAGAATTTAAATGTTACGTGTTTCTGTGGTTTCTTATGTTCCTATCACAAATTCATTTCTGAACTCTCAATCAGTTTATAATTTAAAAAAGTGAGTTATTCTGTTAATTTCACCTTCTTGAAGATCTCTCTTCTAGCACCTTCTTACCTACCTTCAATTAGGCCTTATTGTTCCTTAGGTTCAATATATAGTTCACATCTTATTGATCCACCTGTATCAGTATATTTCACCTTTCTCTTGGGTTGGGTCTCCTATTAGCAGGACCATATTCTGTTTTCTTATTTACACCTTCATTTGGGTGGAGCATCCCCACCAATAACTTTTTGTGAAAGGTGCATGTGAGGTAAATTAAACTGCTTTTTTTTTGCCTACCCTCATAGTTGATTTGTGATTCACCCACATATTGATTTCTGTCTCACTCTTGCTCTCTCTCAAAATTTATAATCTCCCTTTGTTACCAGTGTTGTAAAATCTTTCATGACATACCTTAGTGTGGGTCTATCTGTATACCCTGTGGGTCATTTCAAACTAAAAAATCATGATTTTCAATTATGGGGAACTTACATGATTCATTTATTTGATGACTTCCTCCCCTCTATTTTCTCAAGTCTCTCTCTCTAGAATTATTATTATTCAGATGTTGGATTTCCTGAGTTGATGCCTTAATTTAATTAGCTTTTCCATTTCTGTCTTTTGCCCTACATTATGGGAGATACCCTAATCTTTATCTTTCAGCTCACCTACTGAGGTTTTCATTTATGCAGTCATATTTTTAGAGTTCCTTATTTGTTATTCTTTTTTATAGCAACATGTTCTTGTTTCATTGATGTATTTTTATAAGCTGAAAGTATTTAATAATTTATCAGTTTTTATTTGCTTTCATATAATGTTTCTTTCAAGTGGCTTTTGTCTATGTATGTATTTTGTTCTCAGTCTTTGATGTTTGAGGCTTTCTTCATATATCTAGTGACCTTGAATTAGCAGCTTATAAAAAAAGAGAATGGAGCACAATGAAAGCTGGTTAGAAGCGCTGTGCGCATGGGCATGGGTAGATCTTATCACCTGAGGGCTTCACTGTAGGATAATGTTGCATGACTGTTTCACTGAGAGACTTTTGATATCCCTATCTTTAGGTATTTTGCTTGTTCGTGACCTGGTCAGATTCCTGCGTAAAGAAGACGTGTAAGTCAAGCTGCATTGAGTTCTGTAAGGCATGTGGGATGGTGAGGGAGGGTGGAGGGAGTTTGGGAGGAGTCAACATCCAGTGTAAATGTTCCTTCAGTATTTGCAGCAAGGTTGTGCCCCTGCCCGCCTCTACACTTGGTTTCCTCTAGTTCCTCACCTCAATGATAAAATGGGAAAACAAGGCATCTCAGTGATGTGTGTATCAGATTTACTCTTCCAGTCTCCTGCAGGAGTGGGGAAGGAGGGAAACTGGCCTGTAGAGACTGGGGAAGGATAGCTGAAGCTCTAACCAGGTCTAAAACAGCCTCCTTCTGTTTTTGATATTCCTCTCTCTCTCACTTTGAAAAGTAACCTATGGTACCACTCTGGAGCCTTTGGGGGTTGAGTGGTAAAACTGTTTTGCCTCTTGGCTTCTCCCCACCTTTGGCATATTAGGATCAGCAGTTTTGGCTTTGTGAAATCAGTTTCTGCTTGTCCTTCCACTTCCCAGGTTTTTATTGGTAGTGTCTTCTCTTGATCTCTTTTATATTGTAGCTCATTTTTTAATTAATTTTTATGTTATTAAAATTATATTTTAATATTCTTTCTTGCCAATATATATACTTCTATATCTACATTTTAATGGCTACATAGGAATCTCATTTTAGAGATATAACTTCTGTTTTAAACGAAGGTTGTTATAAGAATATTGCAGAAAACTTTTTATAGATGAATTTTATATCATTCTTTAACTTAAATAAATTTTAAATGTGAAAAATTGTGACTCCTTTAAAATATGTCTTACAAAGTGACATTTATGTGGATGTTTCCTTTCTAATGTAGACCCATCTGTGTAAACATTTCATTTAATAACTTTTCCCACCAAATTGTAAATTCTGTGTGTGTTTAGTTCATTCTACTTGCGGGCTGTGCCTGGAGGAGGATAGGCCCCCAGTACATGTTTGCTCAGTCGTAGTGTGCATAATAAGTGAAATTTTATTATTTTGTTTATAATTTCCAAGAAAAGCAGGATACGAGTTTTAACTATCTCTTTTTTCATCACTTTGTGTTACTTTGAGGTAATGCAGGCCATAATATTAGTGATATTGAACTGATACTGAACAGAAGTCAGCTGATTACCTTAACATCCTGAAAATCAGGAAAAATCACTACAGATCTTTTTTCTGAACGTTTCGTTCTCTGATGGAACCAATGGCTGGAGGCATTTATTTGCAGTTTTTATAAATAACATATGCACGCTGTACATGTCTATTGTGTATATTGCATTTTGGCCTAGAATTTTATTTTCCTAGCCTTACAATCTTGTAGAGAATATTTTTTGTTGAAGTTTGATTTAATTATCGGCCTGCTGATGTGTCGTGAGAAAGATTTAAAATCCAACACTGTTCAGGGTGACAATTTATGCAGTGACATTGCATGTGTGAGAGCTTTGACCACAATGCCTTTGAACAGCAGGTAACAATTCATGCGCGGCCCCTTCTCCAACAGCACTGCTTTCCAAAAGTAGCGGTTGTAGGGAAGGAAAATATGAAAACTCTGTTCCAGAATGAAACGTTGTCTTACTACTTAAAATGTAAAAGAAATATTATTTAATAACATTAGCTAACACATTATCCAGTCTTATTATGGGATATATAGATATTCTAAGCTCTTGACATGAGGTAGGTTCTTATAATTAACTCCATTTGAAGGTAAGGAAGTGAGAATGATGAGATTATTTATAAGGTTAGCTGAGGTCAATGAACTGGTAAATAGCAAAGTCTAATGCTGAACCCAGAAAGTCTGTCTCTAGAGATCATGTCCACTATGGTGTCTTCCATCAGAGATGTAGAACCTTTGCTACTAATATGGGTAGGTACTTTGCATGTAAAAGCTGATGCGGAAGTTGTCTCTTTTGAAATGAATCTTAACAGTGAGTTTTCATCTTCCTACCCAATTTTTCAGGTTACATATTTCTAATAATTTGTTTAAAAATACATGTTATCCCTTAAGTAAAGTGGCCCATGAGGTAAAGAGATTGCTGGAAAGACAGTTTTAGGGCCCAAATAATCTAGGTTTAAACACTGGCTTCATGATTTATTATTTGTGTGGAGGTCCCATAACCTTTTAGTCTTAATTTTCTTGTCTGAAAATGGGAATGATAATATTTACCCACAGCATTACAATACAGAGTAAAAATCCATATAATAGTGTCTCACTGAGCTTCTCACAGTCAAATACCATTATTGTAATTTAATGAAAGGATTATGAGAATTTCTATATTTTGTCTGAGACATATAGTTATATATGTTACATATATGTATATTATCTCTTATTTATAAAAAGTATAATCTTAGTATCAAAAGCATCAAAATATCTGTTTTCTGTTTAATCTTTAACTATCATGAAATTTCAATATTTTGATGCCACATTATCCTTTGAACAAAAGACTTTGACTGGGCTATCCCACAGGTGCATAAATGCTTGCTTTTTCTTCTTTTCAGCTGACTTCCTTGATAACATGCTTTTGCGAAGTTCAGGAAAATTAAACCTGGGCACCAAGAAAGGGGATGGTGAGAACACAGCCCCCACTCCTCGTCCAAAGATCTTGCGATGTAAATGCCACCACCATTGCCCAGAAGACTCGGTCAACAATATTTGCAGGTTGGTCATATAAATTATTAACACCAAGTTTTAACAGAAAATCATGACTAAAGAATTGTATGCTAGTGTTTCCAAGAGCGCATTTTGGGGAATGGCGCCCAAGCCCGCAAACTCTCGGAGCTAAGCCTGTGTTTAGGGAAAAATCAAGTTACCTTTCCCCTGCGGAATGGTGCTCTGAGATTCTTCTGCCTCCAAACATCACACATGCACATTAACATAGAGCACAGATCCCAGGCTCCTTATTAAGGAGCAAAACCCAATTATTTTCTTTTAAAAGGTCTGATCCTTTAAATTAATTACACAGCAGGAAGTATCAACTCTGTGGTGTTTTTGTTTTGTTTTGTTTTAACCATTTGTCATGCCGCTGTTTTTAGCATTTTGCAAAGAACACCTGAGTTGCTAGGATTATTCGTAAACTGATTCTGATAAGCAGTGTAGTGATAGAGCTTATAAGACACTTCCAGAAGGTAGGTAAGACATTGTACTAGAGAATAAATTCCTTAGCAGATAATTACATTTGTATAAATATTTTCTAATATTTGAAACTGGGCTATTTGCCTCTTTTTTCCTGTACCCATCTGTAGGCAGCCATATAAACATGTGTCACTACAGCTGCATTTACTGGTCATTACAGCACATTTACCCAACGCTGGGTGAGGACAGCAGTGGGTAGGGAGACATAGCCTAAAGAGGCCCGAGTGTGCCCAGGGACAAGTGGCTGAGTTAACCAAACAAGTGCAGATCTCAGAAGTTAAAATGTCAGGGAGGTCTGCCTCCAGAAGGATAATGGACCCGAATAAGGCGGTAGGCTGCTAGGTTCAAAGTCCAGGCAGAGTATCTGGATAGCCATTTGGGGGCCTCGTTATCCAGAAAGGAGCATAAAGTTGAATGCATTTTTTTCTTCCTGAAACCTTTTTTTTCAAGTTCCTATGAAGTGGGATTTGATATAAGCTTACCAGTCTATCATGAAATATATAACTCAAGAAACATGTTACCTGAATGACACGGGGAGGAAAGTTGGGTATACTCCTAAGTAGATGTCTCATTTACTCAGCAGAACAACTCAGCATGGTAGGGACTGCTTATTTCTTCCCATTAGACTTAAGGGATTTAGGATCTAGAGAGATCTGGGAGCTTGGCTTTTGCAGGATAGAACAAGTTTGGGATCACTGAGTCTTAAAAGGTAAAATGATTCCAACGCTCAGACAGTATTTCCTTGGAAACAGTATCTTTTTATAGTAAATAGGAAAGTATCAAGAATTTTACAGTGTTTCTTGAAAAAAATTAACAGGGGGAAGCACATTAGGAAGACATCTTACTTTTTATTCTGAGTCTATAGTAATTAAGAATAAACCTGTGAGTGTCATTTAAGCCATAGTTCTGTTGACCATATGTTTAGGCTTTCTAAAATTTTCCCCGTTTCAAATATTTTGTCCTGTTTTCCTTATAGGACACTGAAGTGCCCTAAGCTGATTTGGAAGACAGTGTTCAGGCAGTGTTAACTGCAATGTAGATTCTCTGTGGTGGGAAGAAAAAGCTTGGCGATTTCAAAGAAGACTGGTTTTCCTAGAGTATAGGGAGTAGAAGGAGATGGGGAAGGAGCTGAACCTAGGAACAGGGGAAAGATGACCAATGGCCTGATGGGCTATGTACACATGTTAGTCTTATTCCCGAGAGCATGGGAAGCTATTGAAGCAAATGTCAAAGCAGGAGTAGCAGTGGTGACTGACGTGATTTGATTTTCTTTTTTGAAAAATCTCCTTTTCTGAAGAGTACTGATGGAGGCAATACTCTTTTTTTCTGAAGAGTAGAGAGGGAGACAAACGTGAATTTAAGAACAGTTAGGTAACAGAAATGGAAAAGTAGATTCAGAAGGACAGTTCATGTTAGTTCGTGATCTTGGACTAAGGTGGTACTAGCACAGGAGAGTGGATATTTCGGAGGACTATTTAGAAGGAAAGTTTTATGCTGATGCATTGGGTACTGGAGGGGCTTCACAGTTTCTGCATGCATACTTGGATGCATAGTATACCCTTTTAATGAAAGGACAGAAGAAAATAGTCAAGTTCCAACCTGGACATGTTGAGTTTAAGGTTTTTGACACATCCAAGTGGAGATATCAAAGGGTACGTGTAGGATGTGTATTTGGAGCTCAGGTAAGAGGTTAGAGAGAGACTGTAGAGTGAGTACAAATATTAGTCAGATTTTGTTGCAAAACAAACCAGCTCAAAATCACAGTGGCTTACATTGAAGATATTTATTATTATTATTTTTATTCCTGGGTCTGCAGGTGCGCTGCAGCTATGTGGGGCGATGGTGGGGTGGGTGTGCTTGGCTTCAGGCTGCTGCTCGAGTGCAGATCTACTCCACATGTCTCTTCATTCCTCTTGGGCCAGCACCTACCCTGGGCATCTTCATTCTCACATGAGTAGGACGGAGCAAACTTAAAGCTCTGTTTGTGTCATGCCCTCTTACACTCCATTTACCAAATCGAGTGTCATAGTCAAGCTCAAAGTCAAGGGGACTGTGGCCAGGGTGGGGCATGAGGAATCGAGAACAATAATACAACCATCCCATCTACAGGAGTAGGACTGAGTCTTGAGGCATTTAATGCTTGGGTAAAGGAGACTTTCCCCAGGAGACTCAGAATTAACAGTAAAGCAGTGAGTGTAGGGTCATTGAAGCCAAGTTTAAAGAGTGTGGATTCTGTCGGAGGTCAAATAGGATAAGAACTGAAATATAGCAACTGCATTTATTGACCTTGAGATCTGCAGTTTAGAAATATTTAATGTGGAAGTAGAGATGAAAGCCAAATGGGAATGGGTTGTGAATTACATGGTTTCAACCTTTGATTTATGATAAAGAAAAAGAGAAAAGAAAAATACAACAACAACAAAACATCAACAATAATGATGGAACCCATCCCTGCAAAAGTGGGTATACCATGACAGTCAACATGAATCAGTTAACTTGTAGAAGTCAACAGAAAACTAGTATTTATTGAGCTTTTTCTATAAATACTGGCTTATTTACTTTGGTTTACCTTGAATCATTGTGGCATTCCTATAAAAAAATGTAACTATACTTTTCAGGTGAGAAATCTGAGGCTCCGAGGGGTTAAAAGTTTTTACTAGGTCACTGTTCATACTGATATGATGAAGGAAATTGTGGCCAACATTCCAAAGTCCTGAACCCTTGACCAGCAGCCAACCCCTGACACTCACTCTCAAAGGAGCGAATAGTAACTCTTGGGTAAAATGCACATGCATTGACTCCAGTGGAGCCTCCTGTGCACTGAAATCAATCATGGATAAATCACAGGAGCTACTTCTCTTCCTATGCCCTAATACCTAGAAAAATCCAGGTCTTTCTGTCTCCATTCCTGTTAACACTCTCCATTCTTTGACCTTCAAACCAGTACTTCTCAAGCTATCTGTTGAAAGATCGCTTCCCCCCAGTAAGTTGTACACTGATACTTTTCTAAAGTACAATAAAAATGATTTATAGCCCTGGTGGGTGTGGCTCAGTTGGTTGGCTATTGTTCTACAAACTGAAAAGTTGCAGGTTCAGTTCCCAGTCAGGGCACATGCCTGGGTTGCAGGTTCAGTCCCCGGGTGAAGCACAAGCAGGATGTTCCTCTCCCTGTCTTTCTTCCCCCCTTACCCTCTCTCTGGAATCAATAAATGAAAAAAAAATTAATGAATTGTAGGTTAATTAGAAAATAAGTATACAAATACAAATTACGTGCTCTATTTTTCTCTGTGTTCTATTATTTCGATTCAACAGAACTAAATGTATTGCTCTAAAAATTTCAATTTCTGCACTAACCTCCTCACTGACTAGTAACAAGTTGTTTGCTGAACTCCAAGGGAACACCCTTTAAGTAATACTGCACTGAATCTTTCATTTCTAGGTATAACATTTCTAACGTCATGTTTGTGCTTGTTTGAGGCTTAGATAAGGGCTGGTCTATGCTGTCTGGCCTGTGGCCTTGTACCGGGCTGATCTTAGCCAAGCTGGTTGTCTAAGTAGGTCCCATGTTCATTACCACTCTCACTTTCCTGGAGAGAATAATCCAAAAAGTAGCCCAGATCAAAAGTGCATCATACTTAAAAGAGATTTTGAAATCCCATGTGGTAATTCAGAGAATATGTGCAAAGTTTTGAGGGTCTTTAAACTCTTCCTGAGGACCATCAATCAGTTTACTAGCCAACACCAAGGCCAAAGTCATTCTTGGCCTTATTTTCTATCAGGTGCAGGTATCCTTGACATTCCCATTACTGAATGGCATGCATGTTAGAAAATGTAGTGCAAAGATGGCATGCATTAGAGCCTTTTCTATTATCTGTAATTCAGAGTAAGGTATGAAGCCATTGTTGTCTCTTCCTCAAGACAATATCTGTCTCCTAAATGTATTTCCAGGTGTTACTTTGCATTGTTAGTCTTTCCCATTCCACTTCTGGATTCTACTCCTGGGACTTCGGACTATCACTGTATGTCTAAAAAGCTGCAGTCTCCTTGAATCACTCGTACATGATTTGCACCATGCCAATATTCTGTTTTATTTTCCCATCCAACCAAGTGTAATAATCTCAGCCTTGTTTATTTTTTTCTGTATATATCTGGTCCCACTTTATGTATTTTTCATTGTTTTGCTTGATTTGGTCTAAAATAGCCATTGTTGCCCCTCTGTCATCACCTCTCTCAGGTTCCTCCACGCCCTCACACAAATTCATTAATTTCTAAAAATTATTTTTTACTCTTTTTCAGAGATAACTTAAAATGCTTTCTTATTTATCTTATTGAGCTCTGACCAAGAATTTTCCTGCCTGGGCGGTTTCCCCGGTTACAGGTGTAATGAATTGAATCAGATGTTTGCACAAAGGATTTGTAAACGACACCAGGCTGCCTACAAGAGGAATTAGATAAGTCTCCAACTGGACTTTGAAGGCTCACAAAGGGTAGAGGGAAAAGCTTAGGGACTGTGAGCCTTTTTACAA